TTAAACCAGAACTGGAAATGCAAATCGCATACCAGCACATTAATTCCTTTATGTTAGAAATAAGATAAAACTTGTTAAGTGTTTTCAAAGCAGATATTCATCTGCAGAATTTGAAATAAAATAGTTAACTTAAAAAATATAATCACTTGAGTTTAAGAGAAACACAGTGCCAGACAGCAGAAACTTCCCTTTGAGTTGTTGGTCATGGTAGTCTAGGAGACCCCACCACCACCAAATTTCATAGGCTATTGCCACAGCCCTTGATTGCCTCCCGGAACTTAAGACTTTACTGCTGACAACAGGACATATTTAGGACGCAGTACTTGGAGCAATCAGAAATGACCTGGAAGCCTCCTCCCTGAAGATTAGCTCTCATAGTTCTAAAATATACTGCACAAGCTGCTACGGGAGAAAATCATTCAATCAAAATCATCCAGCCCAGCTCTAAAGCCTAATAACCGTGACTGGCTGAGCAAACTCGCTCTGCTGGTGCAGTAGTGGCACTTCTACCTGGGGGTAAGCAGTAGTTATCTAATCAGACTTAAAGCCCTCTAAATGGGAGGGACTTTCATTGGTAGCACTGTAAATATAGCCAAATACACATGGCTGGAGAGGTCATGAATCCTAGAGGAAATCCCATGACTGTAATATCTCTATTCCTTACTGTATGCTAAATATGGATCCTTATATTTACAGACAAGTATATGGTACTCCACTCATCAAAGAAGTTTCTTTTTGCAGCAGATGGAGGCTATTACAGAGTTTCACAATGGATCACACACAGAGAAGAATGTATGTGTGAAAGATACCTGGCCTTAGGTGACACATGTACAGTGGAACATCTGCACCTAGGTTCATGGAACATAATGGAACAAGGGGTAGAGAGAACAGTAACACATCCCTCAACTCTCACCCATGATGCTTCCTCATACAACAGAGTGTGATACACACAGAAGACCACAACAGACCATGTTTTGGAAACCAAGGGCCTGCAGAGTATGTATCCCTGGATAGGACTCACCCTCCCACGGCTCAGGGACCCCTCAACTCTCACCCATGATGCTTCCTCATACAACAGAGTGTGATACACACGGAAGACCACAACAGACCATGTTTTGGAAACCAAGGGCCTGCAGAGTATGTGTCCCTGGATAGGACTCACCCTCCCACGGCTCAGGGACTAATGCAGAAGAGGGGGAAGATCGTAAGATCCAAGGGAAAAAGGAAAAGAAGAAAAGAAAAGAAAAATGCCGTGTTACACAAGTAGGTGGTTAACACCTTGCCAGGTTATAATAATATAGTTCAGTTCTGTGTGTTGTAAGTACACAACTTGTCAGGGTTCTATACATAGCTTTACCTTATTTAAATACACAGAACATTATCATGCAATTCTTAACTAACTTGAGCTTTGTCCTAATGGGTCCATGTTCAGATTTCCTACGTCAAGGGTCGACTTCACTCATACCTGCTTTTTAAGTCTATGAACATGAAACGGCTGCAATATCTTTGAGCAAAGGAGGGCGTAATGGATTTCACTCTGATGAAGGAGTTCCTAGATCTGATCTTTTGTAAACCCTAGCCTTATTTATCGTATAGGATAACGTAGCAACACCACTGGTACTCTTAAAAGTTTTGGCCTATTTCTTAAGCAGGCAGGCTGACTGAGCCGAGAAGCCCAGGACCAAAGAATGCAAGAGTTTCGATCCTTTCAACTGTATCTCTGTGTTTTCACTTGCCGGGATTGTAGACTCTTGGTAATAGGCCATGTTTTCAAATTAAATCTAAAAGCCTAAATTTATTAAATGAGTAAAAGTATAAAACCACCAGAATTGTCATGAGTAGCGTTGAATCTTATGTATTCTAATTTTAGTCTTTGTGGCCTATTTTTAATCAAAACCTGAAAGAAGTTTCAGAGCTCCTGATTACTCTGCCATGAGCCCCCAGTGAAAACACCTCAAAAATCCAGAGACACCACACAGAGCAAGATCTTTGCCCGGCACTTACTCCCATGGTTGTAAATGAGTCATATTTTAAACATGTTTTCTAGTGAGTGAATTATCTTCAGTGTTCAATTTATTCAGAACAGTACTGTGTTGTTGATGTTTTTACATGATGGCAGGGAACTCTGTTCTAAGTGTTACAGTCATGTTTATTTCATATAATTTCAAACACGATGACAGTTTTTCTTAAAGACATTGTCATAATATGCAGACCTAGCTGACCTGAAACTCCCTATGTAGACTAGACTGGCTTTGAACTAACAGAGATCTGCCTGGCTCTGCTCTGGAATACTGAGATTAAAGGCATGTGCCACCACACCCAGAAACAAACTTTTATATGCACAATTTGCATAAGACCCTCATTATCAGGCTGGTATTCCTACATTCATGGACATTTGTTATCTCTAATTATAAGAAAGGCCTCTTCTGTGTTCCAAAGCATAAAAAAATTAATATCCTTAGAAGCAATGGGGTAGACTCTGACTCTGTTCAACCCAATAGACCACATTTACAAAATAAAAGGAACCATTAAGGCAACCAGAGATAGGGGCCACAGGACACTGTAGTGCCCAGAGCCTCCCTCAGCATCTAAGACTTAATGAATTAGCCCTGAAGACCTTTCTTCCCTGAAACAGATTTTGAATCATTCTGCTTTGGAAGCTGTCATTTCATGATTGATGTGGTCATCAATGCCAAGGCCAGGCTCCTTCAGATAGATCTATTGGCAGACTGGGGGAATTTGGAAAGGATGTATTTACTTTCTGTAGACTTCTAGGTAGTTGGCACTTCAGCCAATGCGGACGTTTTCTCACAGTGCTGTCCAGTCTAATTCAGCAGTGATCTCACTGAGCTACAATCAAACATCGGCTTCCCTTTCTCCAGGGCAGCCCTGTATGCCTCTGTTTGTGGTCTCCTCATCTGCCTTCAAATCCAAAAACGATTGAAAGCGGCCTAGATAAGGTCACCGGCACCTCCTGTGTCTCCTCTACCTTTTGAGGAACCCACTGACTACACTGAGCTTACCAGGGTAATCCACCTGTTTAAACCTTACTGATTCGCGGTCATATTTTCTTTTGTATAACAGGACTACACAGCTTCCAGGATTAGAACATACATATCTTTCAGGAGCATTATTCTGCTTATCATGATAGAGAAATTCAGATCGATGGAAAAATCAGGGCAAATAAGGAAATACATTATCACCAGTAGAGTTTAATTTCTAAATTTATTCAAGACACATGAAATACAATGACTATGAAATTACACAGTAAGAGCATAGAATTTTAAATATCCAAGTTTTAATCTTTGTGACTTACTTTTCTTCAAAGCCATGTGACTAATCTATAAATAGCATCAACTAAGGCTGTGGTTTTGGTAAAGTAAACGGTTCAGACTTTGACACAAATAAAGTCACACCTCCTAAAATGTCCCCAAATAGCACCTTCAGCTGGAGAGAAAGTGTTCAAACACTGGAGCCTATTGGGAACATGCTCACTCAAACCATCCCAGCCTTTCCCTCACGTCACACAATCAAGTACCTGACACGGAGAATCAGATCGTTTTTATATTCTTCAAGCGTGACTTAAAATTACTGCACACCTCTTATTTTTCAATTAACATCAGTCACTCTCAGTACACCTTCCTACAACACCTACATTTTTGTTTGTTTCCACCCAGAACTGGCTGTCCTCCATTTTACAGAGATCTGCCAGCCTTTGCTGGGATTAAAGACTTGCACCACCATGCCCAGGCTAACACTTCTAACACTTGCATTTTCTGAGGTTTATAAGTTGAAAGTGTCAGTTCTGGGCCTGATCACAGTCATTCCTCTCTAATAATCTCTCTCTCTCTCTCTCTCTCTCTCTCTCTCTCTCTCTCTCTCTCTCTCCCCTTGTCTTAAGTCCTTCCCTATTGACAGTATGTTACTGACTTTTATTGGCTCCTTGGTCCATGTTCCTGGTGTGTTATTCTTACGTGAGCACTGCTGATTCCTTTCTTGTTTGTCTAATGCCCTTAGGATTTCTAGAATAGCTGCCTTTTCTAATAGGAATTGTATGAGAAGTCCCCTGCTCACCAGCCATCGAGTCATATTTAATAATTTACACCTCCCCAATTTTGAAGTAAGCTCGTTAGTGCTGATGTTCACATCACTCCTCTTTCTAGCTGTGAATCATGTTCCTAGGAAGCCAGGCCCACAGCCCCTGCTTTAAATAATAATGTGGTATGCTTGTGCAGGTAACTGCGGCTCCACAGCCAGCTCACTGCAGGTGATAGACAAGCACCTTGACAAATCCCTTTACTTCACACTATTGCTTGCATGAAGCAGGGTTTTATAACGACTGAAAATGGACTACTGAATTGCAACCTGCTGTATACTAAGTAAGGGTCAGTAACATCCGGGATAAGCAAATATTCATACCTTAGTCACCAAATTCAGTATGATTCAAATTAATTTTTCTTATGGAAACAATATTTCCCCTACTTTCCTCTTACCCTGAACAATTCATTGCCTGTTATATGGAACAAAGCTGCTGCTACAGCGATAAAGACTCAGGGTAAAATCACACTGAGAAATGCTTTGATGGTCACTGAAGATGCAGGACAGTCAGCTGGACAGGAAGTGCTTCTGCACAGCACATTCACAACACCAGAGACAAATTCTTAATGTGAAGATACGATAAGCCATGTGTCATTAGTGTTGTCCTAGCCATACACTAATGCATGCCAGCCACAGTTTCAGGTATGTCCATATCAATACTTATTCAGTACAGGTTGTGTATATATATTTATGAATAGGTTCAAGCAATGCTCTTTCTGAAACATCAAAATGAATTTAAATTTTTATGGAATTTCATATAGAACAAAGAAGCAATTACATTTTTTATTCCCTTTTAAGAGCAAATTCAAGAGAGAGAGAAAGATAGGGAAAATAGGAAAGGAGGGGCCAAGACAGGGAACACCGAGGTCACATAGCAACCTTCTCTGCCTCCACCTCCCTGTTCCAGTCTGATGCTCTGAGGGGTCACTAGGGAGACAAGAAGCCAGGGTCATTCAAGAATCCAGAACAGAAAGAGGGCTAACGTGATGCTGCTGAGTTATGAAGATTCTTCTGTTACTGAAATAGATAACCTGAGACATTTAGTTTCAGTCAGAGAAACACAAGACAGTTCTTTGGTTGTGACAACCCATGTCCCGAACCCTGCCTCTGGTGCCCCCTAATGCACTGTGTGCATTTCCTTAAAACTCTGACTGAAATGCGTAAAGTCTACCCATAGCCAGACAGGGTTGGAAGGCTGGATTTCAACAGTTAGCTCATTCTAACTTGCTAGATTTTGTTTCTTCATAGGAAATGATGGTCCTCACCAAAGGCAGGCAGACAGACAGGGGGTGGATAGATAGATAGGGGGCAGATAAAGCAAGCAAGCAGACTGGCAATGTCTGAGGAGCAGGTGCTGCTGGCAGCCTGTCATGACTGCTTTGGTTCAGTTCATGAATGGTGTTGCTTTTATTGCTACATTCATTTATTTACCACAGTGTTATCTAAAACTCTTTAAGCTGATGAAGGTTGAAACGTTTAGATTTTCCAAGTTGGTTGTTTTTGCCCTAGAGATATTTGTAAATTTTCTTCTGTATTGACATTCAGATGTTGAAGTATAATATTTAATTTCATCAATGCTAAGATGTCAGTTTCCTCTAATTAAGCCCTCCACTTTAATGTAAACATAAAATGTATAAATATCCTTCCTTCATAAGCCAAGTTTTTTCTATAATCAGTCTGTTGAAAAATCATAGAAAACTTATGAATAAAATATGTAAATATTTTCAGCAATGATCAGGAGTGGGGAACTTCCATTTTTAAGTTTATATTGCTGATGAGATTGGGAGTAGATGTTCAGTACTGTGGATCAGCCCTCACTGGAGTCCTTACTGGACCTGCTAGGTCTCTTTATCAACATTGCCCTTCATGCTGTGGGTTAACCTTGGAGCCCTTACCCAGGCAGGGGAATCAGCCATGAGAGGGAAAGCAAGCTGCTCTCCAGCTCCTGCTGGTTGAGGTATGGCTTCAGATGGGGGTTCCTGTGTGGGGACAACCTCCCTTCATGTTGCAGTCACTGCAGGTGCCATGAGGTAGTGAGGAAGGTTGTATGTCTACCTCATTCTGGAAGCTTCTGTCGGCCTCTAGGACCATGTCTTTAACAGTAGGTTCCTAGAAGACAAAGTTTACTGAAAGGCATATTAGAATACTAGTTTTTGTTCAAGGTG